CAACAGCAAATACTGTAAATGCTGCCCAGCACGGCAAGTGGGGGGGCCGCTTTCCTCTGCACCAAGCAACTGCTGCCGCCACGGCGCAGCCCTGATGGGCGAGCCCGGAGCCAGCATAGGGCCCAGGCTGGCAGTGGGGGCAGGTTACAAGCTGGTGCTGAATGCAAGGAAAAGTGGCTCCTCCCCTGTCCCGTGGCCGGCGCCCCAAGCTGCAGCCCGCCTGGGGCTGACTGTGCCTGCCCAGGACATCCCCGCGTGGGCAGCGAGCTGCTGCAGCAGGGAGTGCCAGCCACAGGGCAGGGGAGGGGCCTTCTTTTCCTGAGCTCAGCACCAGCTCGTTCCCCGGCCACAGTCCTCCCTTGTCCTCCCCCTCCTCGCTTTGTCATCTTTGACAGGAACCAAGGACAGATAAATATTAATTTTCTAAACTATTTTAGGGGCCCCATGTGCTGTATTTTGCCCACCCGTGCTTAAAATACTACTGCTTTTCTGAGTCTGCAGACAAAGCTACACTGCATCTACCGTTATTTGTAACTTCCCCCACAGAACAAAAAAAATTTGCTGATTCTGCTCAAGTATGACTACTACTATTGATAACCCTGAGAAAACAGTAAAGCAATTAAACCATAGCAGTTTACCTCATCCGATTAATGTAATCTTATGAGCAGCAACATACAAATGCACCAGAGCCATTTACCAAGGACAAGGACAAACAGAAGAACAATGATTTAAAAAAGAACAATCTTGAGGGGTCAACACAGATGGATACTTTCTCTTCCAACTTCCACGCCAGGATAGGAGGGCTGAAAGGGGGCAGAACTTCTCAATACATTATGATCCAGACTTTGCTGCTCATTCCACACCTATAACATCCCCCCAGTACCAATTTTTAGCTAGCAAGTCCTCAGTATATGTCACTTCATAGAGTGAACTAAGGGCTTCTCTAGCTACAGAAGTTGCATTGAGTTTAAACAGGTAGCTGTCATAGTTACAGGCAGAAGTCTGCAAACAGATTAGACCTGTGATATAATAGCATGACAGCCTAAGCTAGAGCATGATACTTTCATGCAGAGACAGCAGAGTAAGAGACACTGTGCACGCACAGTTTATAAAAACAAAGATATTTTATGAAGCAGAGGTTCTTCAACACATTTACAAAGAAACAGAAAGGTTTCCTTCTGCCAGCATTCAAAGGAACAGACTATTCTGATCTCTTTCAGACTAGATTTAAAGCACAGCTCAATTCAGCAAAGTTCAAGGGGAAGAAGATTCCCTCCAATTCAGTCATCTCAGCAGAACGGACTCCCCCCCCCACGTCTGACATTGTGCTTATAAAGCCATTTGCACAATTATTTCCCCCAGTTGATCAGCACTGTTGCCTACACTGACAGCAGTAGCTTCCCAGCCAGTGTGAAACTTTCACCTCTCCCCTTACTTGCATAGGACTGATAGGGTCCAAAGCTGTTAGTAAAGATTAAAGCATCCTTCTTATTATAGCTGGAGTTAGGTAAGAAATAATGTATTTCCTGGCACTTCTCTTGGCTAACTCATGACCTACTTTTGCCCTATAGCAAGCAGGTCTTGAGCAGTAAGGCAGGCAAGCACAGCTCTGAGACAAATGGAAAAGTAAAACATGCAGGGAAACGGCTCTTGTTACAAAACACTTTCTAGGACTTGCTTGACAAAAAAACAAAGAAACTTCAACTATGAACTGATGACATGGGCATAAATTTTGTAGCGTGTGAAAACAAGCTCTGATTCAACTAAAATACAGACTCCTGTTTCAACACTTCTATCTAGCACCTTATTCAAACAAGGAAGGAGCTTTCTGCAGAAGTGAAACCTTGTCTTCAAGTCATCTTTCTTCAAGAGAACTGAGGTGTTTTAGCCAAATATAACATTACTGGGAACATTTCTGAGGAAGACGTAACATGCATGATACATTATTCTCTAAAGGATGCAACTATCATGCTCATCCTCGAGGTCCCTTCCAACCCTTAATTTCTATGATTCTACAATACAAGCCAGGACTTCAAAAATGCTGAGCTTCTATATACTTTCATGGAACATCAATGGAAGGACAATATCCTGCGATTTCCAAAAAGTGCGAAACATTTTGGTTGTAGTCTACAGGCAATACAAACCACACAATGTCTTGAAAAAGTGGCACCAAAAAAACCCCAACCAGTAGCAAGCACCTGGACAAGGGCCGAAGCACCAAGATTCAACATTAGCAACAAAATCAAAATAGAGTGGAACAAGCCATGGAGGCAGGCTGTGAGAAGCTGGAATCCTAAAAATAGAAAGCAATGGGCATGAAAACACACCGATACAGCAAAAGAGGGTTACTCAACTGGACCAGGGATCCTTTGGTGGCATTTGCTAGCCAAAGCATGACCAAAAACAGAGGAGCAAGCAGAGAGCAAGCTTGCCCGAGAGCTGCTTCTCAAGGAAATCTGCAGATGACAAACCTGGGAAGGACTGTGATCACGCTGGAGGACAGGAGTGCAATTCTGAAGGATCCTGACAGAACTGCAGCAAGTGAGATCGTGCCCTCTATTGGAGGGTGCACACAGGAGCAGCCATATGGTCTCTACCTGAACTGCAGTGTGTGTTGATCAGCTGAGGCAGAGCGCAAATCCTACAAAGTAGTCAGTGGGGGGGAAGAAATCAAGCCATGTTTCATCCACTGTTTTATGGCCTTTAGAAGCAAACAGGCCATAGGTTTTCATGTCTGTGCTGGCTTAAGTGAGATGATCAGGCTGCATGTAAACAGGCAAACAAACAAAAAAATCTCTTTCATTAAGCACATGCGATAACGCCCCCCCAAAAGGAAAAGAATGTGGAGCCAGAAGGTTTTGTGGCACGTGGAAGGTGGCTGACAGAAGTAAAACAAAACCAAACTATGAAGAAAGTACAGGGAGAGGAAAAGAGAAACAAGTCTAGCAGCAGAGATCACATGAAGCAGGGTTAAGTGTGGGTTAAGCAATGCTGAATAAAGAACAGGGAAAAACAAGCATAACAAAAAGCAGGAGAAACAGCATGGGGGAGAGATCCCTTAAGTTCACAATTCACTGCACTCACCCTGAACGAGTTAGTCTCTAAAGGTGCCCTACCTTCTGCCTGACTCCAGCCTAACACAGCTAGCAAACTATCTGTATAAGAAAGGACATGTAAGCTAAATGAATGCCTGCCTGATCTATCCAATTCCTATACACAGATAAACAACTGTTACCTTCCCTTCCACCTGTCCCCAATTCAGTAAGTTTTACTCTTCCACAAATAATTAACACTTGCAAGCTATTACTTACCCAGCATGGTGGGGAGAGGCCAAGTTTATAATCAAGCCTTCCCTAGTAATGAACTTGAGACTGCTATTCCTTTAAATGCACCAAGGTTTTCTGAATACTCACTGGCATGTCCTAGAGACAAATTTCATTTTGTTCAGCTGGCTTTTTGGGAGATTTCAGGCTACTGAACAAGGATTATCTCCTTGCTTGGTCAAA